TGATTTAAATCAAATTCCTCGTCATTATAAATATCACGAATACACATCAAACAGTTTTCTGGTTGTAGTTTTCTAATTTCGACTATGCGTAATGCATGCTTTACACATGCGCGCGTTGAAAGAAATGTTTAATAAAGTAAACATATAAATATTAAGCTTTTTTGGGGTAAATTTTGATACCCTTTAGAGATTGTTGAAACTCTCACCTACAACCACGTGATTTGCACATGCACGCAGCAAAAGACTAAAAAACAGAACTTTAAACTGAACTTTGAGAACTCGTGATGGACGTTTGAGTTAAACATGTAATCTCTCTCTTTTGTGCTATATATATTTTAGTTTAGTTATGTGATTGTAAATTAAATATCTTAGAAGCCTCTCTTTTTGCGCGAGTAGTGCCTTTGATGAATGTAATTAATAAAAACATTCCTGGATACGCCTTTGGATCGAGAAAGATGATTGACTAAAAGGTAAGCCTTTTTACCTTTTATTTTCTAAGAATGATTATGCTGTTAATCATATCATGAACATTACATTTTTTGGCATCCCGTGCCGCGAAGAAAGTGAATTAATTGAAGACTGATATTAATGATTTATGTATTTTGAATTTGAAAAGCACTTTCATTAATGTGTCGAAGGAAATTATGTCGACTGCTAAATTTGATTTAAGGGGATGGTGTTACAATGAACCTAGTGGTGAAACTTCGAAAGGAAATCCTTGCAGTGAAGACTTCGATAAAACTGTATCAGTTCTGGGGTTGAAATGGAATTTATTCAATGACACTTTGTCCTGTGACTTTAAAGATAGTTCTGTGAAACAGCCTGTCAGCAAAAGGAATATATTGTCATATACACAGGATTTTTGACCCGATTGGGTTTACAGCTCCTGTTACTCTGATTCCAAAGCTAATGCTTCAAGAATGCTGGAAACAGAAGATTTCATGGGATAAAAATTTACCTAAAAGCATTTCAGACAAATTCGAATGTTGGAAAAATAAATTACACCATTTGGAAAAAATAACTGTACCCAGAATTTTTGCTGACTTTGAAAGAATTTCCGATTTATCTTTACACGTGTTTTGTGATTCGAGTAAATCTGCTTATGCCACATGCATATTTATGCGAAGCCGTTATGAAAATTCCGTTACATGTCAGCTCATCTCAGCTCGATCCAGAGTGGCACCTATCAAACAGATCTCCATACCACGACTAAAGCTCTTAGCTTGTATGATTGGTGCTAGACTGGCACATCGTGTTAAGAAAGATTTGAGACTAGAAACCTTGCCTATTTATTATTGGAGTGATTCCATGGATGCATTATTTTGGATCAAAAAGAAAGAAAACTGGGCCGTTTTCGTTCACAATAGAGTGAAAGAAATCTGTACTCTTAAGTAATTAAGATTGGAATTATGTTCCTGGAACGCAAAATCCAGCGGACCTCCCTTCCCGAGGATGCACTCCAGAAAACTTAGTCAAATCAAAATGGTGGGAGGGTCCCCACTGGTTGAGAAATGATCCAGAAAAATGGCCTACCTCTGAAATTGTATCGAATTTTGACTTTATAAATGCTGAAAGAAAGAAGACAATAATTTCTGCAGTTGATTCGAATATTGTGACTGAAGTTAATTTTGATAAGATTTCTTCGTACAATACCATTCTAAAGACAATATCTTGGATCTTCCGTTTTGTTAAAAATGTCAGACTAAGTCCTAATGAAAGAACTTTAAACAATTACAGCGGAAGAAATTAAAGGAGCCGAATTACTAACTCTTTTGAGATTAGTGCAGCAGAGTGAATCATTTTCTGGATTAGATGACAAAAAGATTACGTATACTTCAACCAATGATTGATTCTAACGGAATCCTTAGGGTTAAAACCAGAATTCTGAGAAGAGATGATACAGAAAATTTTCGATTTCCTATTATTCTTCCTTCAGATCATCCTATTGTAGTAAAATTAATTAGAGCTAAACATGAAATGAACAATCATGCTGGAGTAGGAAATTTTTTAATATCCTGCTTTATGAGAACAATATTGGATTTTGAAAACACGAAAGACTGTCAAGAAAGTCATAAGAAAGCTGTGTTGTGTGTCAGAGGTTCGATACTAGTTCTTCGAAAACACCCACTGCCTCCTCTTCCTGAAGACCAAGTAAGAAAAGCAGCAGTCTTTGAGATTGTAGGTGTTGAATTGACTCGACCGTTGATATTGAAGGGAAATCAAAAATCATGGATTGTGATTTTTACCTGTGCTGTTTTTCACGCAGTACATTTGGAATTAATTTTCTCCCTATCAACTGAAAGTTTTCTGCAAGCGCTGAGACATTTCATTGTAGATGTGGAAGAACCCACACCATCTATTCCGACAATGGAACGAATTTCAACAGAAGTGATAGGTTATTCAGATGTTTGAATTGGGATAAAATCTTAAAACATGCTAACAGGATCACATGGAAATTTCTTCCGCCATCAGCTCCTTGGTGGAAAGGATGGTGGGAGCGATTAATAGGAGCCCTGAAAAGAATCCTTTGCAAAGTTTTAGGACAATCATCTCTGAATCATGAAGAAATGATAGCAATTTTGTGCGACTGTGCAGCAATAATGAATAGTCGTCCATTGACGTACGTATCGGAAGATGTTGAAGATTTACCTCCGATCACACCTTCCAGGTTTCTCCATGAGATTCGACAAATTGGAGTACCTGATTTGGATAATTATAGATGCAAAATCTTTAAACAAAAGGCTTATTTATCAACAAAAACTTTTACAAGATCTACGTAAAAGATTCCGAATCAAATATCTCAGACAGTTACAACAAAATTATGATCATGTAAGAGCCTCACAACCTCTGAAATTAGGAGATCTAGTTTTAGTATCTGATGATAATAAGAAGCGAACAGACTGGTTATTGGCGAAAGTAACCGAGATTTTCAAGTCTCGGGATGGACATGTGCGTTTAGTTAAGGTCAAGACTAAGCTTGGAGAAGTTTTGGGATCAACCAAGCCTTTGTATTCTTTGGAGATAACATCATCAGATGAACAGTCTAAATTTAGAAATGTGGCGAGCAGCTCTTCGGATGAAACAGAGACTTAATGCGATCTTTATATTCGTAATGACTTACTTCGAGATCTTAAGAGCGAAAAGATTCCATCGATGACTACAAGAAGTGGTCGAATGGTAAAGCCTGTTTATAGGTTACAGTTTTAAATTTGATTTTTCAGCAAATTTAAAGGTGGGAGTATGTTGAAACTCTCACTGACAACCACGTGATTTGCGCATGCGCGCAACAAAAAACTAAAAAACAGAACTTTAAACTGAACTTTGAGAACTCGTGATGGACGCTTGAGTGAAACATGTAATCCTTCTCTTTTGTGTTATATATTTTTTAGTTTAGTGATGTGATTGTAAATTAAATATCTTATTATCTTAGAAGCCTCTCTTTTGGAATGAGTATTGCCTTTGATGAATGTAATTAATAAAAACATTCCCGGATAAGCCTTTGGATTGAGAAAAAAGATTGACTAAAAGGTAAGCCTTTTTACCTTTTATTTTCTAAGAATGATTATGCTGTTAATTATATCATGAACATTACAGAGATCATAATTGCTCTTTATTTCATAAATTACGGTTTCATATTTTTAATTTTGGAATTTCTGCATGCCATCTCACCAGATTTAAACTGATGGTCTATAATACGAAAAAACCGATAATCCGGAATCGCCGAAGTCCCGACGAGTCCGTATTAAAGACTTTTGGCTATACTTAATAAGTACTCAGAGATATAATTTCAAACATCAAAAGCATAAGTCAACATTGCAATCATTGATGAATTATGCACAATAAACAACACATTTTAAAAAAATATTCAAACAGCTAATTAAATAAAATATTTTTCATAATTGTTTTTATTGAAAAAAATATTAAAATGACAGTCACATATAAGGTTTTGAGATTAGCCATGGAAAGATGGCAAATAATTCATTTTAAAAAGGAAGAATTTAATACTGAAACTAGGGATATAAATAATCACAAAGTATTGTAAAGAATTTTCTACAAAGATAAGATAATTTTAGTGAAGTTATATGAGAAATTGCTGTATTTTTCTGTATAGCATAACATGAAAGGCTAACGATGTTCTGGCGGAAAAATACGAATACAAGGGCAAGTCTACTTAACATTGAGTAAATGGCTATCTCTCTAATTTAGAGAGATATTGCCAAACTGACAATGTTTTTAGGAACAAATTTCTGTCACCAAATTTGACGAGAAATCGCCAAAAGTGGCAACATTTTGGTCTGGTCCCTGCATAACTGTAATGGATATTGTAATTTGATAACTATTTTTGATTCCTATATTAGCTGTAAATGTATATATGCCCTCATATACCTTCCAGTAATTCTCAGAAGCAGAAAGTACTATAGATTTCTCAGCAGCCAGTATAAAACTATATGAGACCAGAGAGAGCATCAGTTTCTCAGTTGTTAGTTCAGAGCAGAAGTTGGAGTACTGATATATATATCCAAGAGAACTTTGCCTTTTAGATGCGCTTTGCATTATGTTATATTTAATATTCTTAACAGCTTAAAGTGCAATTACTGATTGTACTCTATGATACTGTCAAGAGTTGTACAAGTATTTTTGCGGAAAGTTCCAGACCTGTGAATTGTTGCTTTTGGTAAAATAGATTTCATCAAGATATCATTGATTCTTCGTGGATTCATTCTATAATGAACCTGTATGCAAACAAAAGTATTAACAAAGTTTCTTATTAAGAATTGAATTAAACAGTTAAATTCAGATTAGGCAATCTTAGAATCATTCAAGAAAATTAATTTTTAATTATATCTCAGAACTGACTTTTGTGAGTGGGTTAACACAGCACCAAAAATACATACACTTAGCATCATGTGACCTCATAAAACAAAGGGGAAAAGTTCTTAGGTATATCTATTTTAGAGATTTAAAAAAAACCTTCAGAAAAATTCAAACATTAAAAATACCTGTTTATGAAGTCTTTCATTTTCTTCAATTCTGCTTTGCAATTCAATATTTAAAACATTATAAGATTCAGGTGAAATTGCTGCATTGTTAGATGAATGCTTGGCCTGAAATTAAATTAATAATTTCATTAGCATAATATTTGGTAAATACAAAGATAATATAATAATATACTGGAAAAGTCAGCCTTTTTACTTATTTCAAGCAATAAAGATAATTTAATGTATAAAAAAACAACATATAAAATTTATTTTTTATCATCAATCAGAAAACTGTTGGTTGCATCACCTACTCATAAAAGATTAATTAAAAAATATGTAAGCTTAAATGATAATGGGCTACAGAATCTGCATGCAAGGTATAAAATTCAAATAACATTTTATAATAGCATGGATTTTACAATCGCATCCATCTTCCCCTCAAATAAAGCTATAGATTTTAAAGAAATGAATAGTTCTATAAAGGCTATGCATAAAATATATCTTGATGTTTGAAAGACCAGACCAGAAATTTGTTATTGTTTTCTATGAACTATTCACACGATAGGCATAGAAAGAATGATCTAATACTTCACATATTAAAAACAGCAGTTTCTTAGTTAAAAACCAATGTTAAAAGAAATTTTATAATGATGCTCGAAAAAAGCAGATAAAGTCAATATTTCTAACAAATTTATAAAGCTTGAGGGCCCACTGTGTAAATATAGTATCTTCTAATTGGATTTCCCCTTCCCTGTTATACTGTACATAAGTAATACAATTACTCTGGTGTCTCCTTACACCTTATTTTTATGAAATTAAGATACTGGGGGAGGGAGGTTCACCTTCCTTCCCTGTGCTGCGCGCCACAGAGCAGCATGGAAGCACAGGAAAACGTTGAATTAAAAAAGCAGAAAAAGTCAATATTTCTAACAAATTTATAAAGCTTGAGGGCCCACTATGTAAATATAGTATCTCCTAATTGGATTTCCCCTTCCCTGTTAGAAGTAATAAAATTACTCTGGTGTCTCCTTACGCCATATTTTTTTTAAATTAAGAAAAAATACATAAGTACACAACGATTAAAATGCTCCATTGTAAAATTTGATTTCTGTTTTCTGTCTGAAAAAAGTGAAATTTTCAAATACTGTTAATTGTAACTAAGTACATATATACATGTGCTATAATGCTGCGCTATTGTAATAGGACTGTGGCATTATTTAATATAACTCCTCTATTATTGTAATAAGATGACTTGGTGAAAGAAAGTTGCAATGGAATGGCGGTGGTTCTCATCATTATAACTGCACAGTTAGCAAGATGACACTTGAAGGACAAACATAACGATAAATTTCACACATAATTTTATTCCTGGATAAAGTACATCATCACTGTGGGTGCGTTATGCATACCTCCCCCAAATTTGTACAGCTTAGATTTCTTAAACAAGAGAAGAAAATTGGAAATTTAAACTCTGCGTGGCTAACGGCAAGGCAACACAAGTGTTTAGAAACATAATTGAAGAGCGAAGAAGAAGGGGGAGTTGCAATGCAATTACCTTTTTATATCGATTTCCATTTCAGATCACATGACAGTTTAATGTTCAATGTCCAATGTCCAGATGTTGGGTTCAGATTTTATCGACAAATGTGCAATACAGATTAGATGACGGATCTTCTTCATTTAGTTAGAAAAATCACTGCTCTGTTATTTTTAGAATGAAGAGAAAAGTTAAAGGGTTATTATTAATTTATTATTTGAAAGATTTTGAAAGATAGATATTTTATATTTTAGATATATGTGTGTTTAAGATATAAAATATGAAGGAAAATTCTTAACAAATTAAATTTAATAGGAAAAAATTCCTAATTTAACTGGCAATAGCCCCTTAAATTTTTTATTTTGATTAAACATATCTCCTTTTCAAGGATCTGTACCACACCATTTTGCATCATCATTTTTCTGCAATGGGAAAGCTCTTGTTGAATCACTGTCCGGGATTGAAACAATGGATATGAGACTTTAAATACTACAGCTACTTACTATAAACTCTCTCTTCCTGCTTACACTTGCCTGCTAAACTACATCTCTTTACTAAGCCACATTCACCATTCTTTAAAATGTAAGCTTTGTATATAGGAATTGTGGGGCATACATAACATTCCCAGTGTAGCATCCATCAAGGATATATGCTAAGAAATTAATAAATTACGTGCTGAACTTGGCATATTTGTCTGCAACTTCATCTTCCCATCTAAGCAACACTTTCATTGATCTTCTATGATGCAACTTATTTATGGGCGAGCTACATCTCTATGACATTTCAGGCCATGAGTAAAAAGTGAACTAGTTTCACATTCTGCAGAAACTACATCACATATACATGATTTAAGAAAATAAATTCTTATTCACCAGAATATGTTTTTTAAATTACTTAATATTTATTTAAAATAAAGATTAAACTACTGCAATTAAAAATTAATTTCATATGAGAAATAAATGTTTGTCAAAAATCTTTGGACTAAAAAATCAAAACTAAACAATACATATATATAAAAAAATATTTTAACAAAATATTGGCAATAGCTTAAAAGTTGAATATAACTGAAAAAATAAATGATGTAACAAATTTGAAACACTCCATGCAGACACCTTTACTTCTGGATTTTGTTTCAAAAGTTCTTACTACCTGTAATATTTATATAGTATATATGTATGTACACAGCTCAAAAAAAAAAAAAAATGGGACAGTGCTATATCTCCGGTTCTACTGGGCTGATTGACAAAAATTCAAACTGCATTTTTCATGTCTCGAAAGCACGACTTAGGATATATATTAGATTTATATATAGCACTATTCTAACATAGGTATTTTGACACAAAATTGGACTTTTTCTGAAACAACATATCAACATTTTTCCATATTTCGATTCTACGACTCAAATTACGCCAGAATACCAAGTTTTGTAAAAATCGTACGAGTAGTTTTTAAAATATTAGCTCCTCAATGTTAATTGAATTTGGTAAATATTTATCAATATATCTTTTTTTATTAAACTTTTATTATTTTTCCTTTCCCATTTCGAAATTTACGTTCATTCCAAATAAAATTTACCCATCTTTTTTGTTTTATTTTTTAAATTTCTATTTTTAAATTATTTTTATAAATATTTTCAAAAAAAATTTGAATTATAACCTATAAAATTTTTACCATCATCTTAAAGTAGGTGTATTTTTAAGCATATCTGCAAAAAATTACTTTTTTATACAAAATTTTCTAAGATATACACGAATTTACATATTTTCGCGTTTTGAAATTTGGCATCTTTTTTTTGAGCGATAATAACGCCAAATGTGGTTTATGGATTTTTGTTACAGTGAATTGCCACAGCTATTTTTAACCTTAAATTTCAAGTAAAATTTTATGGAGAATTAATTATATGAAATATTTTCCCTCAATGATGTGTAATAAATATTTATTAATACTATATGAAAAGCTATTTTTTAAAAAATTACAGATGATATTATTCAATTTTTTAACTATTTTTTTTTTTTCTTTATTTCTCTCTTTCTTCCTTTTTTTAAAAAAAATAAGAGTAAATTTTTACCTTTGGCGTTTTATCGTCTGCTACTTTACTTTAACTTCGTTTAAATCGAATTGTCTATAACTGAGAATTTTCGTTTGATGTTTATTTCAATTTTATGACATTAACTGCATAATTTATTTCTAAAGAAACTGTTGCTTATGAAATGGCTGAAAGAGCGGCTGATACTATCATCCATATTTTTAAAGCACAGTATACTTTTATAGAAACATAAGATTTAGAATAATCATTTTTATAAAAGTCAAATTATGATATAAACATACAACCCTCTAGAGACTGAATTAATGGAAGTTCAATGGTTATGTAGAAATGATCTGCAGCTACTTAATGGCTGGATAAGTCAGCAGCTTCTGTGGACAAGTAAGAATAATTATATAAACGACACCCAACATTCTGGATTCAATTAACAACGAGGATACGATGTTTATTAAATGAATTTAAGAAGTTTTAAAACATAAAAAATCAACTAATTTTTTATTCTAAAATGTATTTTTGTGCGTAGCATATTTTCATTATATCCTTAAAATTTTAATTTAGAATGTAATTGTCAAGAACTGAATCCTAATCATCAGTAATATAATAAGTAATTATTACGGTTATTAATAAATCCTTCTTATAAAGTAATTGCAAATACTTCAAAAAACTTTCTCTTTGAATCAAAATATTTTTCTATGCAAATATTTTAAATTTTATATTAATCAAGACTGCACACGATATTATTTATTTACACTTCAATTCTTACCGTCAGCTCTAGAAGTTACAAATCAATTATATTTAATTAAGGATTGGATTGGATTGTTTAATTATGGCAAAGCACATGAGGGTTATCTGCCTGAAGGGAGGGATGACTTCGTGGAGGACTCTCTAAGGGAAACTGGCTCGTATACACGTTACACATGGGGAAAACCACGAAAACGCCCATGCAGCCAGCCCGTTTGCGGAATTTGAACCTCAGACCGAACTACCAGTGTTCAGCATCTTTACCGCTCGGCCGCTGGTGGGCTATTTAATTAAGGAATGACCATCTAAGTTTAGAAACAGCATACCGTAACAGCAATTCAATTATTGGCGCTTTATCTTTCATGTTACTCCCGATTGGCAAGCTACATGATTTTTAATGAGTATTCGGGTTTTGCTAGTAACTTCACTTGGAAATTGCGCTTAAACTAGGCTAGTTGGTTATTTGAACATAGAAAGAACATGGGAGCTATTTAATTAAGATGCTTTCATAGAGAATCTTTGTAAAGAGAACCTAGAAAACTACGAAAACCAACCATGCAGCCTGGGTTAGACTTCGCAACGAACAATTAGTATTTAACAATCTTCAAATGCTAGGCAACTGATGAGACTCCAATTAAATCTCCAATTTAATATTTTATTTGTAAATATTTAAAATATTGTTGTATTCTTACACGCAAAAAGCAGAATTTATGTTTTGTTAACTCCTCAGTAAACTACCAAGCCGCAGTGCAAATCAATATTCAATTTCTTTTGCAATAATTGTATTCACTTAATATTCTTGGA